CCCCAAAAAAGAACAGATCATTTTGAACAATATTTAGCAGAATAATTTGACAAATACTACTTGTCTGAAGTTTCAAGAAACTAGAGAATAATTCTAAGAAAGCATATATATTCCATGACAAATATAATTTTTATTTCGATACACAATTAAAGATTATACATAGGACTAGATACAAATATAAGTAATTAAGTTGTTTTGTAAAAAGTCCTTTCATTGCATATAGTACAGCTGCTTCTTGAAATCTGGAATATTTCATGGTGCAAGATTAATTCCAAGACTATTGAGAGGAGTCTTAAAATTTTAAAGCAAAATATACAACTCAAATTTATTTAAAACAATGAGTCCTTTTCAAGAAACATCCTAATTAGGGTGTAAGATGCCCTTCTCTTGTTTTTACCTTTGCTACAAAAATGTAATTTTGATACTTTTACCTATTTTGGAAAGCTTTAAAAAAATCTTACATTTTAAGGTAATAGTTAAAGAATTATGTCTAATTATAAATGCCCCAAAATGCACATAGAAAGCTTTTCAGTCAACGAAGCGATTTTCAGAATGTCCTTGATACCAGTTTTGCATCCCAGGTTCTCTGAAGGATAAGTAAGTAGCCTAACACCTACGCGCTATTTTAAAAAGGTAATTTTCAGAAACTCTGAAATATCTGTAAGATTCTATGGACCACACATTTATATGTTCTTTAGCTAAGCAATACAAGAAGTACGGTGTTGGGGAAAACTCAGTTATCTGTCACAGAAAAGGTCTGAAAGATAACTAATAATAGTTATCTCGATACATATTATGAGTAATTCTCTTTTTTTTTTTTTTTGAGACAGAGTCTTGCTCTGTTGCCCGGGCTAGAGTGCCGTGGCGTCAGCCTAGCTCACAGCAACCTCAAACTCCTGGGCTCAAGCGATCCTCCTGCCTCAGCTTCCCAAGTAGCTGGGACTACAGGCATGCGCCACCATGCTCGGCTAATTTTTTCTATATATTTTTAGTTGTCCAGCTAATTTCTTTCTATTTTTAGTAGAGACGGGGGTCTCACTCTTGCTCAGGCTGGTCTTGAACTCCTGACTTCGTGCAATCCTCCGGCCTTGGCCTCCCAGAGTGCTAGGATTACAGGCGTGAGCCACCATGCCCGGCCTGGTAATTCTCTTAATTTATCTATACTTTTAAGTTTTTCAATAATAAACATGATAGATTTGGTAATAAACATATACTACTCTTTAATGTAGAAATGATACCTTCTCACTTAGTAAATTCCCTTCTAGGAATTTACCAGCAATTCTTCCTCCTTAAAAAAATGTAATATGCAGACATAGAATATACACAAAAATGTTTACTTCAAATTATTTACTATAAGCGAAAACTGGAAACTATATAACATTCAATAATAAAGGAATCATTAAGTAAAATTGGATTCATCCATAAGGTAGAACACTATGCATCTATTAAAAATGTTTTATAAAGTTATATATAAGAAGCAAAATGCTTAGATAATGTTAAGTGGAAAAAATACAATTTACAGTGTATCATGTGCTCTTATCTATGGAAAAAATGCATTTAAATAAAAAGACTAGGGGGAAATATGTCATAATGTTAAGAATGGTTTATTCCCATTGGTGGAAGAATTATACATATACTTTTTTATGCACTTTTCTTTATTTTTTATATCTTTTATAGTAAGACACTATTTCTTTAAGAGAAAACAAAAAAAAATTTAAGGGCATAAGTGGCTTTTCTAGAATTTTACTTAAGAGATAAAAGACTAGCTATACGATTACGTAGAAAGAAAAAATTATTTCCTGGTACTGTGTAGTATTAATAAAATAAAACACTACTCAAGGACATTCATGGATTAGCAAACTAGCAACCACTACTGCCTAAAATAGTTTAACAGCTTAAATGCCATTATTCTTTTCCCATTATGCTAATTTTATAAAATTAGGTTCTCTAATTCACAAACCACAAACCAACACTACAAAGCTTTTATGAAGTATTATATTAGGAAGCTGGATTTCACCACCACCTGCTTTCCCTTTTGTGTCTAAAATTCACAGAGATTTAATAACATAAGAATACCGCTTTGTATGATGATGTAATTGTATTTCTTAAACAGTGTTAAGCTACTTGATAGATTAAACCAAATGAAGATCTCTTCTGTCTATTTTTTTTTTTTTTAGGGAAACAGACTTGGATCTCCCAAGCTCTGTAGAAAATAGATCATTTTTGAGTGATACAGGACAAGAGACAGAGAAGAGCCAATTAAAAATAAAAGTTCCAATTGTTCATCACATAGATGTTTAAGGTAAATCCTAAAATTTATCTCAGGATCAAACTTAGGGGAAAAAAGATCTCTAAGTTTTAAAACATACAAACTTATATTGATGTAAAATACAGTATATGAAGAAACTTTTATAATGATATTTTGGTTTTTATACCATATTTGTTTGTTTATACCATAATTGTTTTTTACACCATATTTATTGCTCTATGTTTACTGTAGTCTGTTCAGCCATGAGAACCTAAAATAATTTAAAATAAAACAAAGTTTTCACTGTCATCTTATAGTTTTTAAGGTAGTTGTTGTATTTATCAAAAACACACATATTTATCCAGTGAATGAATGAAGTTAACAAATACTGCTGTAAAAAAAAACCTCATTAACAAATAGAATACTTTATGAAACAATTGTATCTGTGCCCTTGCTAAACAATTATCAATGTAAATTACCTATAAAAATTCATAGAGCAACTTCACTAATCTAGAGATCTACAGCAACTTTTCTGGTCAGCAATTGCCTTGACATTTCCTTCACCCCCTCCACATTATCTCTAATTGCACCAAATTACTACAAACACACTCACCCATCTTAAATTTACACTATTAGTTTTTATGTTAACGACTTCTTTAGAAGAGCACAAGGGAGATGATTTCTGTGGACTAAAAATTTCGCTTTTAACCTAAATCACTTAAAACACATATACTACACACCAATTTAGGATCTAAATGCTCTTTCATTATCTAACCTGTACCTTCAATTACAAATGAATGCATTGATCTCACTGTGATAGTCAAACCACGATATTACTCTACAGTGCCCCCTAGCTCTCTAAAATATATCAGTTTAAAGGGGACACCGTTTGAATTGTCAACCTCAAGTGTCAGTCACTATCAGTTCCACTTAAGCAGCTCTTAAATAGATACTGTATTAACTAAATTTGACCTGATAAATAACAACTGACTTAATTAAATCTTGCTATGAATCCAATAAGAGCTGATGGGAAAAAAAATGTTGTGAACTGATGGGTTTGGAATAATTCTAACATACACTCTAGTTCAAAAGTTCTGTAGAACCTCTCTATAACTTGCAATTTGTTTGATTTTTCAGACAGTCATTAAGCAAGGACTTGTAAAACTATGCATTTAAAATGCCTTGTTTTTATGTAAGTCCAGAGGAAATGGCATGGTATAAGGCCATGGCTCTTCAGAGGAATGGAATCAATTTCTTCATTTTTAAAACTGCTGGGATCAGATTAAGTTATGCAAAGATTTAGTAATCTCACCATAGCCAGATTATCTCTATCATTACAAACAATCTAAACTGCTAATACTGGTAAATTTGTGAGAGGAAAATCTGTGACCTTGGTCCTGATGCTACAAAATAAGTCAGATCTAGACTGCTTCAGGATCAGTCGAAGGCAAAAAGTGAGTAGGACTGAATGACATATATCTCTTCCTTCTGGAAACCGACATTAAGCAAAACTTCTAAGTACAACAGCCACAAAAATCACTCCAGTTTCCAAATGCCCTTCGCCTTACCTAAGTCGTTCTGAAAAAAAGTCCTACCTTATTCCACATTCAAACTCTAGTACATTCGTACTAACAAGGTTACGGAATAGGTTGAAAACTGGGGGGGAAAATAAAAAAGGATGAAACTCCAGTAGCAACTACAATAAAGCAGAGTAGATACATCAAAACCACTAGATTTTATTCTAAAGAATGGGTTTGTTTCCACCGTTTCTCTAAGCTAAGGTATTTAATTTGCACGTCTTAAAATAGAGACCCTGAGGAGAGCAGCTTGAGGCAGTGGAAGGGAGGCGGGTTAGGTAAGAACAGAGACTTGTGAGAAAATATGTGCGGTGCATTAGAATGTGCAATGAAGAGGGGTGCTGGATTCACCGTCAGGAAGCAGTCGAGGGCTTTATGAGTAGAGCGGAATCCGATGTGGCTTTAAGGAATGCGTATTCACAGCCAGAACGCACACCTGGTAAAGGGACAACCCTAGACAAGAAAGACCAACCCACCAACTGTGCAAATGCAGAGATGACCATTTTCACCAGTTCTATTGTCTGGAGTATTAGATGGAAATGCCCTAGGCAAGAGATCAAGCCAGCCAAACAGCAAATCAGAGACACTGTGGGGCAAAAGGAAGGAGAGAAGATGGACAGTGGCTGTCTGGGCATTCCCGGCCACCGGGGCCCCTTCCTCGCTGAGCAGGGGAAGGACGCCGGGGTCGCCGGGGCCGCTCGATCCCCCATCCGCGGAGCCCAAGCGCAGGCGGTCCCCTCCTCCGGCTAGCGACGTCTCTGTCGGCGCAGCCCGGGAGCACCGAGACTTCCCCTCCCACCCCACCCCCAGCCGAAAGCAGGGAAGACGCGGAACTTGCGCTCCGGAGCGGAGGCCACAGACCAGGTCACGGCCCGGGTGGGAGCTCTGGGCGAAATTCCGTGTGACCACCGGGGGTGGCGAAGGGGAAAGCAAAGCCCCGGCCGGTCGGGTTTCCAGTCGGACGACACTCGGGTCCGGCTGACCCGGCCCGATCCCTTCGCTGCTCACCGACCCCCTGCACCTCCTGGGTCCTCACAGTCCCAGGCCCGCTCGCCTCCGCCAGTGGCGCGGCCTCTCGGGTCTCCCTGGTCCTACCACTGCTGCCGCCCCTCTCGGTAAACAGCTCCTCTCCCGAACCCTCTCCTCGGACGCTCCCGCCGATCCCCGGGCCGCACCTCCGTCTTGGTGATCCGGTGCCGCCCCAGCTTCACCACGGCGAAGTTGCCCTTGCCCAGCGTGCCCTCGATGTCGTAGAACCCCACCCGGACCGGCCCGCGCTGCAAGTGCCTCGGGCCATCCGCCATGACCATGCTGGGCCCCGCTGCTAGACACGGCGGACAGGAGCGCGGACTGGCGGGCTGGCGGCGCGGCTCGGCTCGGGCGACGACCGCTCCGCTTGCTCCTTCGCTCCTTCCCTCCCGCTCCGCAGGGCCCAGCCAGGCGCGCGCCGCCGCTGACGTGCGCCGACGTCAGGGGGCCGGGGCAGGGGGGCGGGGGCGGGCCCGGGCCTCGATTGGTCACCATGGCGACCGGAGCACCGCCGACGTCGGCGGCGGGCGGGAGAGAGGTGGGGGCCGACGCGCGGGGAGGGGCGCCGGGCCAGGCCGGCGCGCTCCTTCCGGCTCTGGCGCCCTCGCCTCTCCCCTCCGCCTCGCCGCTGCTCGTCGCCCGGCCCGCTCCGTTCCTCGGCCTTCCAGCCGAAGGGCAAGAGCGAGCCCTGGTGGGCGGTGCCGAGGGGTGCAGCGACACGAATCCGGCCTGTGGGCTTCTCAGCCCCGGCGTTCTCCTCCCACCCGGGCCCTTCCCGCCAAAACCTCTCACCTATGAGTACAGTGCACCTTAAATTTGGCACTGGCAAAGAACTGGGGCTGAGCAACGCATTGCTCACAGGCTCCTTTCTTTGTATCTTGTTCTCATCTCGTTGCTATATAAATCCCTCCACGTTTTGATGTCTCCGAGGAATCATTCTGACAGCAGCACGGTCGCTTATAGACTCACAGAATGTCCAGCGTTGAAGAGACCCTAGAGATCACTTAATCAGAGATTTAGAGCCGCAAATGGGCTTCGGAGCATGGAACCCCATGAAATGTAGGCAAATGTTTGCTTTTCTGAGCGTGTCTCTAGGGAGATAGGATCATAGCTTCTATCATATTCCCAAACGTGTTGGTGACCCTGAAAAGGTTAAGAAATATTTATCTAATCCGATTTCTTTTCAGATGACGAAGCAGGCGGCAAGGAATGAAGGGAATTGCCAAAGTTACACAAGTAATGCTAGAGTTGGGATTATAGGTCACCACACGAGTCTTCCATATGGTAACCCAGGGAAACAGGAGAAGCAACATTTTAATATTTTGAAATATATTATGTGCCTCCAGGCCTTGGCTTCTAAATACCATTCTCCACTAGAAAGAAGCAGAGTCCTTGACGAAAGGGCTGATTCCAGAGCAGAGAGAGGGAAAGTATAAAATACCCTTGAAAGACCTTGTGCCAGAAAGCAAGGAGATTTCTTGGATATGTCAAGGAGAGTATGGCAAAAGAAAAAAGGAGACAGCTCGAAGGTCTCCTTACCAAATCTGAGACAATTTGAACATAAGAATGAATACTGAGAGAAATGGATTATAACACATTTAATTTTAAAAAAGAATTCATCAGTGCATACTTAAACTTTTAAATAAACAAATATAGAGGGGGAAGAAGTGAAAGTTCTTGACAGTGAATGCCAGCTAGTACATGTAGAAGAAATGATGAAATTAGGAAGTCATTTAGCAACTATTACAATAATAATTGATCCAGACAAAATTATCAATAGATATTGAAATCATTGGGTGAAATTTGGCTGGAATATTTACACAGTCTTCAGATTTTTTTTGCATTACAAAGGGTTAACAAAGGTACTTTGACAGTGAACAAATCTGGCAGACACCATCCTAATCAAATGATCAGAGTTAATGTCACCAATTATGGGATAAAATGACATGATGTGCCTCCTGATGTGAGATATTGAGAACACAATCAATATCTATTATGTAGTATCCCTGACAAAAATATATATTATGAATCTAAAAATAATCAGAAAGATGTAATCTGAGAAACATTCTACCCAATAAATGATCAGTACTCTTTAAAAAATCAGTGTCATGAAAGACAAAGAAAGGCCAAGGAACTGTTCTAGATTTAAGGGATTAAACAGACATGCCACTAAAGGCAACATCTGATACTGGAAAAAATGCTATAAATGAATATTTTCAGGACAATTGCTGAAATTTGGATATGAACTGCATATTAGATAAGAATATTGTTTCATTGTCAAGCTTCTTGAATTTCATCATTGTACTGTGGTTATGAAAGAGAATATCCATTATAAAGAGATAAAGACTGAAGTATTTAGTGATAAAATTTTTGATGTATGCAACTTATTCTCAAATGGTTTAGCAAAGATAGATAAGGTAAATGAACAGACTGTTAAATTAATAAATCTAGATAAAGTGTAGATGATAGTTTATTATACTGTTCTTACAACTTTTCTGTAGTTTTAATTTTTCAGTGAAAATTAATATATGCGTATATTTATTATATTTTATTTTAAAATTTATTTTATTTCATTTTATTAGTGCAAGATTGATTGGCTGTTGGCCCTCCACTGCTCACTGCGCTTCTGCCCTTCACTCCTCCCAAACAATACGTTATTCTACTATGAGGTATGTTGTTTGCAAAAGCGAGGGGAGAAATGGGGGAAGGCTGTAACACTGATCAGATTTCTGGATTGATGGGAGTGGTATATGAGGGTTCCTCTACATAGAACAGGAGCCCATTTTTGTACATCAGTTCAAAAATCGTTCCCATATGCATATTACTAATTAGATGAATGTATTTTCATTGTCCTGGGGCTGGGTTCCTTTGGAAATCTGATGAAAAGCCACTTACTCAGGAACCAGAAAATGTACATAGAGACCCACTAGAGTTAACAACCTCCTCCTTTAAAGTATACCTTTTGAACAGAAATTGACTCATTTTTATCTGGTTATTTTAATCAGATAAGCAGGCCAACTACCTACTTGTACAGTCCTGGAATAAGAATTGGTTTGGGGCTGGAAAGAAGAAAAAAGGATGGCAGGGAGTACCAAAAGTTTTTGGAAAACCAGAGTTCAGTGTGAGCATGCTGGGTGTCTAGAAGTTAGAGAAAGGGAGGCCAGAGGTAGGGAAGAGGTTAAGAGGGGCTATGCCAAAAATCAGCCTTGCCCATGTGGAAATGCAATGGGTATGCCACTAAAAATTACTGGTAGGTTGTAAACTCTGCAGAAATATGTGGACTAATTTAGAATACTTCAACTTTGGATTTTATGATTCAACTCTATTTCCTCAATCCAAAGATCCCTCTCCTATTTCAATCCTGTATGTCGCTTATGTGCTTTTGCTTCCAATTAAATGATAGCTGTATACATTTTAGCAATTGTTATTATCCAACTCCTACTTTCCTCTTCTCTTCCTCTCTCCCTCCTTCTCTTCTCTCCTCTTTCTCTTTCTCTACACACACACACACACACACACACACACACACACACATCCCTCGGGGGAAAAAAGAATGAAAGATAAGAGGGAGAAGGAGAAGAAAAGAGAGCTTCAGACGGTCACCATCTTTTTCATCTCTGGTTTTAGTATCAGTGAGGTAGAACACTCTAGTCACTAGATTTCCTATTTGCTTGACTTTTCAAATGCAGCAATCCCAACTGATGCTGTGTGTCTACTATATTTGCCATTGAGTTGGTTAAAAAAATGTTAACATAACACTTCGAAAGGCCAAAGGATATACAGATAGAAAGAATTAAGAATGATGGTTAGAGACTAAGAATTAATTCTGTAACACGCTTAACTTAGAATAAAGCGGACTAATAAAAATATGGAATGAGAGGAGTTAGCAAAGAGGTAATGAAAAAGTGATCTGAAATATGAGGAAAGAAAACTTTGTGGCTCACAATGCTGTACATATTTTGCTGAAGCAGATGGCCTATGAACTTGAAAAAAAAGGTATGTACCTTTGTTTCCTTAATCATGAACAACATCTGCATTTTTACTTTTTTATCATTTTAGTACTGAAGGAAAGTCAATACAGCAGTAGACTTAGACCTGGATTTAGATTTAGTACAAATCAAAAACTGGTAAAATCTTTATTAGATGACTTTGCGTAGAAAAAAGAGATCACGAAGCTAGAATGAATACTTTGCTTTTCATATTAACAAAGGCAGAAATTACATAAGAAAATCCAAATCATTGTCCTGTGCCAATTCCAAGTACTTCTTTTTTCTTTCTTTTTCTTTTTTTTTTCTTCCTTTTTTTTTTGAGACCGAGTCTTGCTCTGTTGCCCAGGCTAGAGTGCCGTGGCGTCAGCCTAGCTCACAGCAACCTCAAACTCATGGGCTCCAGCAATCCTCCTGCCTCAGCCTCCAGAGTAGCTGGGACTGCAGGTGCTCGCCACTATGCCTGGCTGATTTTTAGTTTCTATTTTTAGTTGCCCAGCTAATTTTTTCTATTTTTGGTAGAGTCGGGATCTCCCTCTTGCTCAGGCTGGTCTTGAACTTCTGACCTCAAGCTATCCTCCTGTTTCAGCCTTCCAGAGTGTTAGAATTACAGGTGTGAGCCACCACACCTGGCCCAAGTGCTTCTTATTAGTATAAATTACAGGTATTCATGAAACAAGCATCAATCAGGTTAATGAACATGTGGGTGTTACTATGTATAAACTATTACGGAAATAAACTGGAAGATTGAGGTTATTTAAAGAAAAGTTTTTTTAGCACTTTCATTTTTTAACAGCTTTATTTGGGTGTAACTGATATATGAAAAACTGAACATATTTAACGTGTACAATATGATGGGTTTGAACATATGCATACACCTCTGAAACTATGACTACAAAGTAATAAACATATCTATCATCTCCAAAAGTTTCCCCTTGCCCCCCTTTGTGTGTGTATGGGCAAGTAAGAACACTTAACTTGAGATCTACTCTCTTAAATTTTTCAGTGGACAGTAGAGTATTGTCAATTATAGACACTATGTTGTTCAACAGATCTCTAGAACTTATTTATCTCTCATTACTGAAGCTTTATACCCATTAAACAATTCTCCATTTCTCCTTTCCCTCCAGCCTCAGCCAACCACCATTCTATTCTCTGTTTCTATGAGCTTGACTATTTTAGACACCTCACATAAATGGGATTATGCAGTATTTGTCCTTCTATAACTGGCTTATTTTGCTTAATGTCTTCCAAGTTCATCCTTCTTGTTGCATATGGCAGGATTTCCTTCTTTTTTAAGGCTGAATAATATTCTAGTGTATGTATGTGTGTGTATAAAAATTTTTTTAAAATTTCCCATTC